AGATAGACAGAATAGATAGATAGATAGAATAGATAGATAGATAAATAGATAGACAGAATAGATAGATAGATAGATAGATAGATAGATAGATAGATAGATAGATATAGACAGACAGACAGACAGGATAAATAGATAGATAGATAGATAGACAGAATAGATAGATAGATAGACAGACAGAATAGATAGATAGATAGATAGATAGATAGATAGATAGATAGATAGAATAGATAGATAGATAAATAGATAGACAGAATAGATGGATAGATAGATAGATACAGACAGACAGACAGACAGAATAGATAGATAGATAGATAGATAGATAGATAGATAGATAGATAGATAGAATCAGGTTCATCATTGACATCAAGTGTTTTACCCACTGAGTCATCTCACCAGCACCATCTTAATATTTTTACTGAAACAATGTATTTCACCACTTTTTTAAAAAAAGGAGATTGGAAAACCAAGGACCTGTTCCACAGGCTCAGTTCTCAATACCTGTAGAAGCAAAATCCATTGTCTTACGAGGATGTAAGCTTGCGAGGTAGTAAAGGGTTTTAGGAGCTGTTTTTTTGTTGTTTGTTTGTTTGTTTTCCTGAGCTCTGGGATCTTAATGATGAAATCTGATGCCAGATTCCCAAGGAACCCTTCTTTCCCAATGTGCCGCGTGCTGGCAAACCCCACTCCTAATTCAGGGGCTTACTTGGAAAGAGACTGTAACAGTAGGTCCACTGGTTCTATCCCTCACTGGTTCTATCCCCCCCCCATCCCAGTTTCCTAGATAGTGCTGCAGAGGTCTGACTTGAAAGGTGTACAGCTAATCCCTGTTTCAAATCTAAGCCCTTTAACTTTCCTCAGGGGACAGAGGCTCAGCTTCCAATCCTGTCTCTTTCTCTGCCACTCCCACAGGAAATGTAGGTGCATGGAGAGATCCCTTGTTTTCAGATGATCATCTAAGTTACCGACAGAATGTGTTCTTCCAAGGCATAAACACAACAGAGGAGGGATCAGGGCACAAGAACATGAGGAATCAAAGAAAAGGTCTCAGGGCCCAGGGAGGGCCCTGGAAGCTAGGCAAGGAGATGGGGGTGGGGAGGGCTGGAAATTAAGAAAGGGGCTCAGAGACTCAGCAGGAACAGTGGGGAAATACTATGTTAGAAGCTCAGAAAGCCAGACTTCTCTGTAGGTTTTGGGTTAGATTTGGTGCTGGGGGTAAGGATTCACCAGTCCAGTGCTGAGTATCTTAGACTAAGACAGTAGAGTAGGATAGTTGTGTTCTGTGTTGGTTTTTTGTTTTGTTTTGTTTTTGTTTGTAATTTATTTGTTTGTTTAACAGAACTCTCCTTAATTTGAGCAAGAACGAGCATTGATTTGGCCGTTGCCACCAGGCTGACCAGTCAGGTCATAGTCAAGCAACCTTTCCTCCAGCATGCTGTGTCTCCAGTAGCGTTGCCCAAGTCCACCAATAAAAAAGGTCAAATTATAACATGCTGTGTATAGGACTCTACCTCCAAAAGGCTTCAGATAGACTATGTCACTTCCCACTAGGGCAGCAATGGATCTCTGTGAGTTTCTGGAGGACCCAGATTTCATGGTAGAAATCTCAGCTGAGTTTCTTCCCTCAGGATCTGTAGGCCACCTTGTCCCTCACAGAGGCCCAGCTTTAGGGTCCCATTGCCTTCTCACTCCCTAAAAGTCTTCCTAGAGCAAGACTGGTGAGCCACCTTCCCAAGATCCGCAGGCGACTCTGGGGAGTCTAGGAACACTTGGGGTTCCCAGGTCATTCCTGGTTTTGTCCCCAGAGGACCGGAAGCTGTTTGTGGGGATGTTGGGCAAGCAGCAGGGTGAGGAGGATGTCAGACGCCTGTTCCAGCCCTTCGGCCATATCGAGGAGTGCACTGTCCTGCGGAGTCCTGATGGTACCAGTAAAGGTGATCTGAACTGTCCCTGGGTTTTCCCGGTGACTTTTCTTACCCTCTGACTCCTGTGGCCTGAGTTATTCCATTCTTGTTTCCCGCACCAGGCTGTGCCTTTGTGAAATTCGGGAGTCAAGGGGAAGCTCAAGCTGCCATCCAGGGACTGCACGGTAGCCGGACAATGACAGTAAGAGCGGGGACCTGGGCTGAGGGTGAGGACAGCTGGGTGGGAATCTGCTCCCTTCACCCCACGGGATCTACGGGTTCCAAGGCAAGGGCCGGCTGGGGAAATTGCTGGACTTAGAGCTCAGTCAGGGTCAGTACAGGTCACCACGCCCTTCTTTTGCCCAGGGCGCCTCATCCAGCCTAGTGGTGAAGCTGGCAGACACCGACCGGGAGCGCGCGCTGCGGAGGATGCAGCAAATGGCTGGCCAGTTGGGTGCCTTTCATCCAGCGCCACTGCCTCTCGGGGCCTGTGGCGCCTACACCACTGCGGTAGGTGCCTGCCTGCCTCCGGACCAGAGTGAGTAGGACCTGGCTCCGTATCGGGAGATCAGGCAGTTGCCAGCCGCTGAGGCCTCTACAGATGCCCTTCTTCCTTCCCCAAGATCTTGCAACACCAGGCAGCATTGCTGGCGGCGGCGCAGGGTCCCGGGTTAGGCCAGGTGGCCGCGGTGGCCGCCCAGATGCAGCACGTGGCGGCGTTCAGCCTGGTGGCTGCACCGCTATTGCCTACAGCAGGTTAGAGACCCAAGAAATTGAAGCCATGGTTGGGAGGGCCCATGAAGTACCGCTCCCTGACTCTCTTACCTTCATCTACAGCCAACGCATCACCTGGTGGAGGTGGTCCTGGAGCACTCCCCGGCCTTCCAGCGCCCATGGGGGTCAATGGATTCGGCTCCTTGACCCCCCAGACCAATGGACAGCCAGGCTCCGATACGATCTATAACAACGGGCTTTCCCCTTACCCAGGTGGGTCACCCTACCCTGCTGACCCAAACCTCCTGGAAATAGAATGGGAAGCCAGGTATTCCAGGCAAGGCCGTGCCTGGGGGGAAGGGATTCCCCCATCTTCCCTGCTGCCTTTCATAGTGGTCCTCCACCTCCCACTCTCCCACTCAGGGGCTCTTCCCTGGCCCCTGCCTTACCTGCCTTCATCGTGGGCCTTGCGCCCCCTCTCTCTCCAGCCCAGAGCCCGGGTGTGGCTGACCCCCTGCAGCAGGCCTACGCTGGGATACACCAATATGCAGGTTTCGCTTGGCACTGCCCAGCCGGGGTGTGTGGGTGTGGGGTGTTAAAGGGCCTCAGGTAGGAAGAGGGAGATTTGTGGGAGGGTTAGGCTCTGTTCTGAGGAGCCAACTCTTCCATCCTGCTCAGCCCCCAGCCCCAGCCCCCAACAACCTGTCTTGGGTCAAGGGTTATAGTGAACTGGGTTGAATCTGCCAGACCTGGTCAGGCAGATGGGGATCTGTCTGGGAAATGGCTCCTGGGGGTCACTGCCCACTCCCACCTCTGTCTCCAGCAGCCTATCCCTCGGCCTATGCCCCAGTGAGCACAGCTTTTCCCCAGCAGCCTTCAGCTCTGCCTCAGCAACAAAGAGAAGGTGAGGGACTGGGGGCTGGAGAGCAGGGGTTTGTGTGTGGGGGTTGCCCCTGAGGATTCTTCCCCTGAGCAAGCCTGCTTCTGTTCCTGCAGGCCCCGAAGGCTGTAACCTCTTCATCTATCACCTGCCTCAGGAGTTTGGGGATGCAGAACTCATACAGACATTCCTGCCCTTTGGAGCCGTTGTCTCTGCCAAAGTGTTTGTGGATCGTGCCACCAACCAGAGCAAGTGTTTTGGTGAGCTGATCCATCCCTGTGCCTCAGGAGGCCCATAAGGCTTCCAGAGACTGAACGTTATAGGACAACGTGTGAGCACAGAAAGCCTTATTTCAGACCACCTGAGAATCTTGGATACCTAGAAAATGTAAGATCGGGAAGGTTTCAGCTTTAGAGTTTGTCCAAAGCAGGGTGAGTTTGGATGGGTTTGGAATAAAGAGTTGCCTTCAGACCCCAACTGCAGATCTGAAGCCAGACTGGGAGGAGTGAAGCAAAGCAGCCAAGCCAAACCAGGCAAATACTCTGACCCACACACGGTCTTTTCCACCAGACTTACTTCCCTTCTTCTGGAAATTACACCTTTAGGGATGATTTGCCTCTATTAAGTATGTGTCTATACTACGTATGCATAGATGCTCACATAGTTAAGCAATAGAAAGGTGCCCATGTGATGGGCCTAGTCCGGAAATTAGAGAAAGGAGATCGTGGCAAGCTGGATTCTCAGCTAACCTGTCTGTCCACACCCTCTAGGGTTTGTTAGTTTTGACAATCCAACCAGCGCCCAGACTGCCATCCAGGCCATGAATGGCTTTCAAATCGGCATGAAGAGGCTCAAGGTCCAGCTAAAGAGACCTAAGGATGCCAACAGGCCGTACTGATCTGCATTCACTGGTCAGTCACAGACAGGTGAGTCTTTGATAGATGTCAGGCAAATGGGACCCAGGTCACAAGACCCTGGCAGCTTTATGATATCAGGATACTGCCATCTGAGAAATCCAGAAATAGAGAGAAGAGCCAGGGACAAGGGGGACAGAAACTGGGATTTATTTTTTTCCCAACCCAAAGTTCAAGATTAATTAGATGACCTTGGTGCTTCCAGTCTTGGAGAGACAATTTCAGCCCATTCTACTCTAGGGACGACTGCAGGAGGCCACAGGAGCTTATATAGGAGGGCTGTGGAAAATGGGGTTTGGTTCATATCTTGAGGATCCCATAGACCATAGGTCCTGACTTTAGTGAAGGGGATAGAACCACTAGGCAGCTTGAATGAAAAAGAGAGCAGCTAATGGGAGATGGAGAGAGAGAAGTAAAGAGCTTCAAGAGGCAGACCTGCAGGGCTCAGTGGACATTGAGCAGCATGGTGACAAGGCCCAGGCTTCAGGAAGGGCCGCAGGAGACTGCCTGCAACCTGGAGAGCTGTGCTGTGCTTGCAGGTCCTCTTGGCCTCAGCTCACTCAAGCTGCCCCAGAAGCTGCAGGACATTTGCTACAATGATCTGCCTAGGGTCTAGGCAAGGGCTGGCTTCTGTGGCGAGGATGCTGCCAGGAAGAGAAACCCTGACACTTAGTTGAGAAGTCACAGAGGGGACAGGCTGCTCTTATCTTACCCTCAGTGACCTTTGCCTCCTCCCGCTCCTCTTTCCTTATCAATTAATACCAACAACAGAAACTGAAGAGTGAGAAGAAAGGAAAAAGAAAAGCACAGAAATGCTGGAGTGGCCCTACCGGAAGGAGTGGCAGTAGACGGAGGTGGACCAGACCCAGGGCTGGCGCCTGGGGCTCAGGCCACTCATCGTGTGGGTTGTTCCATGGAGCGATCAAGCTGGCAGGGCAACCAGTGCTGGCTGAGGATCGACTGACCTAAGGGAACCAGCAGAGGGCCTTGGGGGTGCCAAGGGCTTCTCAGCAAGGGAAGCCCAAACTTACTTTGTTCAGAATCATATCATTCCTTAGTGTTTAGGGACCAAAGGACTATTGCTTTTTTTAAGAATATATATATATATATATCTATATAAATTAAAACAAAGAAAAAACAGAAGAGAGACAAAAAAAGACAGTATAGAGTCTCATAAAAGCTGCCTTTAACTACCCCTAGGAGACAGGGTGAAGGAGACCCTTAATAGCCCCAGCCTAGGCAGAGGAGGCTGTGGAAAGGTTGTCCTGGGTCTCATTCCTTCTGAAGCTACTCCCTTACCCTGCCCTTAAACAGAAATGACAAAGGATGTGAAGTCTAGCTCATAGTCCAGCAACAAGAGGGTTATGGAAGCAGCGAACCCACAATCCCCAAACTCAGACAGTACCCCTGAGGAGGCCTCAGGAGGAGTTCAGGCCTGCACTGCTCTTTGCTATGCTGCGAGGGCCCCGCCCATCAGAAGTGGGAACCTGCCTTTGCTTCCCAATGCCCTCTCCTGGGGAGTCAGAGCCTCCCCAAGCAGGAAGAAAGAGGGAGCCTTTTCCTTCCCAGTCCAGGTAGACCAAGGCCACACCTTTGGCTAAGCTGAGACACTTCCTGTTCCCCTCCCCCTGCGACTGCTCCAGGGTCCCCTTGCTCCAGGCCACCTTCTGTGTCTTAGTCTCAGTTTGTCCACCTGTGAAGTAGACTTGAGATACACGTAGAGGGCTGTGACACAGACATGGAAGGCTTGCTGCTGTAAATACTGCCGTTGAGGAGGGGATACTTTAACTATGTAGAAGCTTCAGAATTAGAGGTCCCTCTTTACCCAGGATCTGGGAGGGAAGTAGATGTTTTGCCAAAATACTAATTCATTCCTTTAAAAAGTCCATCTTTCCTATGCAAGTGCGTCTCACGTGTGCTTACCCAAGGTGCTTTTAGACGGTGAGCAGTGTTCAGCTTAGAAGTGGTGTGTGCTTTGTCTGTCTGTCCTTGTCTGTCTGTTGTATACAGTGGGTGTCATATAAAGCTGATCAATGGTGGTGCTTCCTGCCTGCTTCTGTGAGATGGGCAAAGGTTCAGCTCAGAATACAGTTCACCTTGTCTCGGTCAGCCCTTCCCGGGCCTGCCAGGCCTTGAATATACTTTTCCCGCTAGGGGAATAATTTACACTCCCACCACCAAGTCATGGATCAACTTAGTTTGAAGCCCCACCGAATAGGGGATGCTCTTGTCCAGCACCGGAGGTCTGCCATCCGATAGATAACACTGGGACAGTGAACAATGGGGGAGGGAAAGAAGATAATTCCTTCTAGACTCTTTTGAAGAAAATCTGTTCCCCCCCCACAGCCCTATTCCTCTCTCTTTGACTGGTTTTTGGAAGTAATGAGAATTAAAACTAGATTTGTCAACATTGCTAGGTTAGCTGTGGATTACATCCACAAACACTTGCCAGATGGGAAAGGAACTGGTGCTGAGGCACACATACACCAGCATAGTGCTAACCCACAGACAAATGCCCCGGATACAGGCAGAGGTATACAATGCCTGCCTATTCAAAAGAAAATATATTCATGGACTTAGAGACATAACCAGACAGTACAGTATTTACCTTGTGAGTCCAAGGACCTGAGGTCAATTCCTCAAAACTCACATTAAGACAAACAAGCAAACAAAACAGGCATGCTCTTGTAACCTCAGCACTGGAGCGACAAAGACAAGTAGGTCTGTGAGGCCCACTGGCCAGCCATCCCAACCAAATTGGTGAGTTCGAGAACAATGAGAGGCCCTGTCTCCAAAAAGCTAGGTGATGACCCCTGAGGAATGACAGCTGAAGTTGTACTCTGGCCTCTGCATATATGTGCACACACAGAAACAGGCTTCAGGCATTCACCGAAAAGCAGACAGTTCTCAGTGCTAAGTGTTAGGCATTGTTCTAAGGCTCAAGTTTCTACAAAGTCCCAGGAGTTGAGGGGAAAGCACATACAATGGAGGGACCCACATGGTCTATACCAGCAAGAAAGCTGCTGCCTGCTCTAACGTTGGGAGAGCTCCAGAAAGTCTTCCTAGAGATTAAGGTGAAGAGTCATCAAGAAGGAACTAGGATATTCAAAGTCTCTGAATGATTGCATAATTTTGAGAAGGTATTTGTAGCCAAGAAATAATAATCCCTTATTTTAGATTCTGTTACATTACAGATAAGTCAAGAGCCTCTTATCATTCCTAAATCTACCCGAACCTTAACTCAGTACTGTCATGTCAAGGCATTTGAAACAATATGGAATTTATTTTACTTCATGCTATAGGGTATGAGCAAGGGCCTGGTAAACTCTAGATCCCCAAACTGTAGGTGTTGATGCAATTTAGGTCAGATGCTGGCAAACTATGGTATGTCAGCCAAACCTGACCTGTGACATATTTTGCATGGCATAAAAATTAAGAATGATTTTTTTTAAAAAATTCAAGGATTTTATTTTATTTTTTTTTCAAACTATAGGAATGTGTGCATGTCTCCCTGCAGGGAAGTGCCCATATGTGCAAGTGCCATAGAGGCCAGCAGAGGGCATTGGAGTTCCTGGAATTGGAGTTACAGGTATTTGCCAGCTGCCTGCTGAGGGTGCTACAAACTGAACTTGGTCCTTTGCAAGAGCAGTGCACATTTTAACTACTGAGCCATATCTCCAGTCCCCATTTTATATTTTTTAAAGAGTTGTCAAAACAAAATGATGATACAGAGCCCTATGTGGCTCACAAAGCTTACAACATTTATCTGGTCTGTTAGACAATAAGTTTACTGACCCTTGGTAAGGTAATGGAAGATTTGTAGAATGTCTGAGTTTGAGTAACATGGTGTTGTGTCTGTTTGTGTGTGCATGTAATAATCTGGCCCTTTCCAATTGCAAGTATCAAAACCTAGACACAAACATCTTTAAGTCATTAGGAAATTAAATAGCTTGCATAAACACTAGATCAAAGGCTAAAATCGCTGCCTTCAGGCATTATTAGATCTCGGGGTTTAAATGATGATGTAATGTCTTCACCCCTTGATTCTGCTTCCATTTATATGTTGATCTCACTACTTCTCACTCTAAAATCCTAGGGAAGACTTTCCTTAGTCTTAAACATATGTATACCTCTAAAATGGAAAACTGGGCTACTTTTCCAGGCCTGTGAGGAAGGGGAGAAATAGCTCAGCAAAGGGAAAGATAAAAAAAAAAAACAAAACAAAAAACAAAAAACCACTCTTCCTTTGGAACAAGACAGAGAACAACGGACTCCAGTTGTTTCCTTCCTTCGAGACAGCAGGGTGACTGCTCCAGAGCCTTTCCGTTGGGAAATATCTCCTTTAGTGCTCTTTTGCGGACATCCCTGAGAAGATGGCTTTTCTAGAATCAAAGCGTCCCTCACCCAGTTTTCCATGGTCTAGGATCTAAGGATTGCCTCAGCAATTCAGCACCCCAGGTCCATTTGCCAACTGCGGGGATTAGCTGATTCCTGGGCTCTCTGTGGCTAGCAGTGCCCTTGGTTTCCAGACCCCCTGCTGAGTGCTCTTCTTGATCTGGCCCTCAGAAATTAAGCCTCTTAGCAATTGTTCTGTTTTATTTCTGTTGCTGTGTTAAAATACCTTGACAAAAAGCAACTTGGCAAAGATAGGGACTTACTTCATTTTACTATTCCAGGACATAGTCCATCATTGTGGGGAAGTCATCCACATCCAAGAACAAAGAGAACTGGGTACAAACCTGTTCAATGCTTGCTTGCTGGTACTCAGCTTGGTTTCTCTACTTCTGCCCAGTTCAGGACCCTCTGCCTAGGGACTGGTGCAAAGAGCCGCTGGGGCTGCTTCCTATGTCAAGACAATCCCTCACAGACATGCTCACAGGGCAATTCAATAATCTAGACCATTCCTCAATAAGACTCTCTCCCATGTGGTTCTGGGCTGTGTCAGGTTGACAGAGACAACCATAACGGTAACAGGTCACAGTTGGGACATTCCTCTGCTCCTCAGCTTCACGGTTTCTGCAGCAGCCCATCTATCTTGCTGTCCCCACAGAGACAACTCCTGTTCTGTTCCTTTATGCCTCATATTCCAGCAACCTTGGCTTCACTCAGTAGTCAAACTCCCTGACTTCTAGGCCTCAGCCTCAAGAATAGGATGCTTGAGTGCAGGACGGAGGCAACCACACAAGCATTCATCCAGCCACCAGTCTGCAGCTTCCTTCCTGCCTCCCCCTTCAGCCACAGTCAGTGTTAAAGTGGAGGGAGGTGACGTCAACAAAGAACTCCTGAGGAGACTTCTGTCCGCTAATACTGAATCTGGAACCCTTTTACAACCTAAAGACCTTGGAGACTATGGGCATAGTCTTCAGCCCTCAACATGACCTCTGGGGTAGATTTCTTCCCTAGATGTCACTCAAATATCCTGAATGCAGAGGAAAAGGGCATTTGGTCTGAGATGAGCATGGCTACCTCTGACTTCAGAAACAGCTCCGGGGGCTGGAGTGATGACTAAGCAGCTAAGAACACTGGCTGCTCTTCCAGAGGTCCTGCGTTCAATTTTAACAACCACATGGTGGCTCACAACCATCTATATAATAGGATCTGGCATGCAGACATACATGCAGAGCACTCATACACCAAAAAAAAAAAAAAAAAAAAAAGAAAGAAAGAAAAAAAGAAAAAGCAGAATAAAGGCAGAGGCAGGTGGATCTCTGCAAGTTTGAGGTCAGCCTGGTCTACAAAGTGAGTTCTAGGACAGCCAGGGCTGTTACAAAAATAAGCCCTATCTCGGAAAAACTAATATATACTGTGTGTAATATATACATATAATATATCACACACACACTATATATATATATATATATATATATATACACACACTGATCCACAAACAACTCTGGCTATGCTGCTCTGTGCTCTGCTCATATCTGGAGACTCTGCAGCAGAGCATACATGAGATGCCCTCCAGAAGAAAGCATTAGAATACTAGAGACTGAAGAATGTCCTTGCTCCTTTCTAGCTTCAGTCCTAGACTTTGAGACCCCATTGTCCTAATGCTGTAGCATCCATCAGGACAAAGCCAAGTTAAGTAAGAGCTCAATAGTCTGCTTGTGGCCTCTGGGCCTCCCCCATGCCAACTATGCTTTTTTTTTGATTTTTTTCTTTTTTTTATTAATTTATAAAATATTTCCACTTCCACCCCTCCTCCCAATACCCTCCCACTCCCCCCACTCCCCCTCCTCCTCCATCTCCAGTCCTAAGAGCAGTCAGGGTTTCCTGCCCTGTGGGAAGTTCAAGTTCCTCCCCCTTCCCTCCAGATCTAGGAAGGTGAGCATCCAAACAGACTAGGATCCCAAAAAGTCAGTACATGCAGAGGAAACAAGACCCAGTGCCATTATCAATGGCTTCTCAGACAGTCCCCGTGTCAGCCACATTCAGAGAATCTGGTTGGATCACGTGCTCGTTCAGTCCCAGTCCAGCTGGCCTTGGTGAGCTCTCATTAGATCAGTCCCCTTGTATTGGTGAGTGAGCGCACCCCTCATGATCCTGACTTCCTTGTTCATGTTCTCCCTCCTTCTGCTCCTCATTTGGACCTTGGGGGCTCAGTCCAGTGATCCAATGTGGTCTCTGTCTCAATCTCCATTCATCAACGGGTGAAGGTTCCCTCTGATCCTGACTTCCTTGCTCACATTCTCCCTCCTTCTGCCTCTCATTTGGACCTAGGGAGTTAAGTCCAGTGTTCCAATGTGGGTCTCTGTCTCTATCTCCATCCATCGCCAGATGAAGGTTCTATGGTGGCCAACTATGCTTGTATATTACACAGCCTGATGTTCTTTGGGCTTAATAACAGAGACAGAGCAGGCCAGGTAGCTGGCTCCCAACTTGCAGCTTGGATCTGTATTTCCAGCTTTCTCCTCTGCCCTTCTCTAAGTTGACACTTGACACACATTTGGTCACATTTTTACAGACCTTACTTACCCAGATAATCATGATAGACTGAAAACTGAGTCTGGCTTTCCCAAGAGATGCCTTTAGTGCTCAGCAG